TAAATCCACTATGGCTGGTGTACTTACATAAGAGGAGTGAAATCTGGACACAGAGCTACAGCTACACAGGAAGACCACCATGTAAAGACAAGGCAGAGACTGGAGAGATGTGTCCGTCTAAAACCTAAGGAACCCCAAGGATTACCAGCAACTACCAGAAGCTAGACAAGGGGCATGAAAAAAGATCCTCCTCCAGAGCCTTTTGAAGAAGAATGCTTCTGCTGACACTCTGACTGTAGATTTCTAGGCTCCAGAACTGTGAGAGAATAAGCTTCTGTTGTTTTAAGCCACAAGGTTTGTGGTAATTTGTCACAGCAGCCCTAGGAAACTAATATAGTGCCTGACTAAATTTGGAGATAAGGCAGACCTCAGGATGAATCACAGGTTTGAAGCCTAAGTGACTGCAAGAATAACTTCTACTGAAAGAAATGGAAAGTCCAGAGGGAAAATTAGTGGAAAGGAATGATTCTAATTTTTACTTGAGTGGTCCAACACAATCACAGGATAGTCAAATGGATGCCTTAGTGTTATAAACATTATGACACAAAGGACTAATAGAACAATTAAAAAAATATAGGTGTAAGAATTAAGGCTGGGATTCCCCTTTTACCACCTTCTAGTCAAATCCAATTAACTTTTTTTCAATGATTATGTTAATGACCATTTATCTTTGATACCTTTCTTTACCTTTGGTTCCCATAACATCACAATATAGCTTCTACCTCTGTTCACCACCACACCTAGCTCCTCGTTCTAAGTAAATTTACTATTCTTCGGCGATCTGCAAAATCTTGAGTTTCTATTTCTCTAATTTGAATTATTCATCTCTGAAATACACATTCTATTATTTCTAGTTACCTATATAATATCTTAAGACTCTACGTCATGTCTACATGGAGGCACTGCCATCGTTTCCTATCTGACATATGTTTCACATCTTTCTACTCAACTGACGTTCTTCAATCCATTATAGTAACTCCACTTACGTCTTCTCACAGCTAAAATACTTCATAGTTTTCTTTCTTATTTACCAATCTATTCTGCAATTATTTTTTCCTTTGGAATACCTCTGGCAGTCACCTTTCACCTTCATTTCTATATTCTAAGTCCCAATTTTAGACTTCTTACCTCACTTTAAGTTTACTATAGCATCTTCCTAACTGGTCTCCTTGTCTTCAGATTTTTTTCTATCTAGCACAGTGGTTCTCAAATTTTAGAGTCCGCATAAATCACCCAGGAGTGACTAGTGGGATTATTTAAGTGTTTCTTGCATGTTATCTTATTTCTCCAACAAGATTATATAGTTATCAAAACCAAGGAGTAATCACGGCTTCTATTTCCCCCCAGTGTATAGCATAATCTAGGCCACACAACATATTCAATCAGGTATTTTGCAACTTCAAGACTATGATTCATCTCTTTTTTGAAAACATCCATAATAGTATCTGACCAAGAAGCATTTCAGAGACATATACCTTAGAATAAAAATAACAAGTTGTCATTCCAGGTTCCTCAAGAAAAAAGAAAAACCCAACTCACTGTGCTTGCTTCAAGAGATCTCTCTTCAGTGGGGATAGGGGAAATACATTCTCTCTGTATGTATCAATCACAGAAGGGCATCCCAACTCAAGATCCTGGTCAAACTTTTCCAAACAAATCAACACAACAAAACATCATTTACATAAAGACTACTTAAAAAGAGCAGAAATGACAATCTCTGTGCTTAGGAGCTTGGAGTTCTGAGTAAACACAGATGGCAGTAAGCCATCTTATCCAGCCTGAGGGAAAAAAGAACTTTTCACAGGAAAGCAACTCTAAAGGATTATTTCTGCCCTGGGTATCATAATTTGTGACTTTTGTTAAGTCTTATGGCAAAAAATGTTATGACTTTTGGCATTAAAGAACCTAAAAAGTCTGTTGCACTCTTATGAATTATATTTATGTAATCTGATAGTTAAAATTGTCAAATAGAAGCATTATCTTTAACTTGAATGGGAAAAGGGTATGAGTTAAATTAATTTACAGGGATTATTCTTACATAAGAAACGACTCATATGGACCATAGCTATATTAAGCGAAAAACTGTAAAGTATTTGGAATCAAAGAAAGCAGGAAATTAAAGCCTAACAGAGCAGTGGAAAGAGCACCAGACTGAGAACAGAAACATGCAGATTTCAGTCAACTTTTGATTCTTACTTGTTAAGTAATCTTGGGTACCTCCTCTCTTCGTTTGCTAACTTGTAAAAGCTATCTGAATGCTAAGATCCCTTCCAGTCCTAAAATTATATACAGTTATATACTTTTTAATTGCATTTCTAAGTTACACATGATGTTTTTCTATTTTAATTGATATAAACTTGTAAGCTCCTAGGGCAGTGTCCCACGTAGTATGACAACTCTAGGTCATAATCATTCACTGAATTGACCTTAACAATTTCACTATGACTTAAATCGCAATCCACAGACCACATTTTAAAAAGTAAAATGACTATTTACTATCTTCACACTCATCATCTGGCAGACATTTCAGTAGAAAAAAAAAACTCATCCTGTTGCAATACTAATGAAATGTTACTTTGTAGTGTTTTTGGGTTTAATTTTTTTTTTTTTTTTTTTTCCCTGAGATAGGGTCTTGCTGTGTCACCTAGGCTGGAGGGCTGGTGCCATCACAGCTCTCTGCAATCTTGAACTCCTGGGCTCAAGTGATCCTCCCACCTCAGCCTTCCAAATAGCTGGGACTATAGGCATGTGCCACCATGCACAGTTTTTTCATTTTTTGTAGAGATGGGGTATGGCTATATTTTGTAGATTTTTTAAAATATCACCTCCTCTCCTCCTTCTGGTATACTTATGATTAGTTGATAATCTCACCACTGGGTGTCACTTTTGCTTCAAAAGAATTCAATCCAAACTAACCTCAATAATTAGAATTTGATCTGTAAGATACTTATCCCTAAAGTCTCAAAATTTAGCTCTTACAATTTCTTGCTGTAACATGGCTTCAGATGTTTCTAGGCTTCAAACACAGTGCAAACAAAAATCAGCAGGATTTCTGAGATCGTAGGTCATAAAACAATCCTCTGAAATCCCATTAATATCCATACACTTTTCAGTACCTACATCGACAGAAAGTAAAAAAAGTGACATATACAGAAAAACAAACAAGTGTGCATATTTGGGTATAAAACACTGGGATCCCTATATAATAAATGCTGTTTTTCTAATACTACTACTTCTAGCATTATGAGAAGATAAAAGTAATATTCAGAGACCAAGAAAGTAGAGAAGTAATGACTTTTAGACTACTTATGTTGTCACTCCAACTGTCAGCAACATTTGGCAGTGATATCCAATTACATAAAAAGGGATCTAGGAACTGATGTGTGATTTTTCAAATTCAGAATAAGTGAAGGATCTAGAGTTATTTTCTCTTACCTAAATATGAACAGTTAACCTTTCCAATAAACAAACAGATATTAAGATAATGGTTACTGCATCTAGAAGTATTTTCCTCTCATCTCAGATCTTCTCTTCTCTCCACAACAAATGCTACTACTAAAGGAATTTATCAAATGGAGACAACTCAAATCATTTCTGGGACTTTACATATAACACACACACACACACACACACACACACACTTTATCATGTCCCTCCTCTTCCTCTAATCCTGTTGAAAAGATTACCATGTCCTTCTCCTCCCTTAATCACTGCCATGAGTCATGGTTACTAATGGGACCTGTTACATTCCTTGGGTTTGCTGAAATAGAAAAAAGTTGTAAGCCACTGACTTAGAAGATCCATCTAGATACATTATTCCCATGATGCCCTGGACTGTTTCCAAGAAAACAAAGTTAGGTTCTGGAGAAAAGTATGCCTGCAAAAGGTAAAACTTAAAAAGGATCAATGCTGTGGGAACTACTGTGGCAGTTTCACAAGCCAAGGGAGTCCCAGTTCCTCCTGCTGGAGCAAAGAAATACTTGCTCTTGTATTTCTGAATTGGAAACAAAAAAGCCTTTTAACCACAAAAGTGATAAAACAGACATTAGGCATAAATGAAACAATCTTAATCACACTATAATTTAACTGGAGAATGTGTAAAATATGACTTCCATGGGTTGGCCTGGAAACTATCCCTCTGAAAAACACCTTCTGTGTGGAAAAATGCATGTCAACTCAAAACAATTGACTTACACACAAAATTTAGAAACAAACCTGCTGGACAGTCTGGATTTTCCCAATGTATTTCTGCAAGGTTGACAGCAAAATGTCATGCTTATATATTAAATTAAACATATCACTAAAATCTTAGATTCAACTATATATTTATTCTCCTATAAGAGTTTATTAGGATGGACGTGGTGGCTCATGCCTATAATCCCAGCACTTTGGGAGGCTGAGGTGGGAGGACCACTAGAGGTCAGGAGTTTGAGACCAGCCTGGCAAACATGGGAAACCCTATCTCTACTAAAAATACAAAAATTAGCTGGGCATGGTGGCACGTGCCTATAATCCCAGCTATTCGAAGGCTGAGGTAAGAGAATCGCTTGAATCCAGGGGATGGAGATCGCACCACTGCAATCCATTCTGGGCCATGGAGTCAGACTCTTAAAAAAAAAAAAGAAAAAAGAAAAGAAAAAAGGGATTTAATTATATTTTACTCCACAGAAATCACTTTTTATTTTTTTGAGACAGGGTCTTGCTCTGTCACCCAGGTTGGTGTGCAGTGGCACAATCTTGACTCACTGTAAGCTACGCCTCCCAGGTTCATGCCATTGTCCTGCCTCAGCCTCCAGAGTAGCTGGGGCTACAGGTGCTCGCCACTACATCTGGCTAATTTTTTTGTGTTTTTGTAGTAGAGATGGGGTTTCACCACGTTAGCCAGGATGGTCTCAATCTCCTGACCTCGTGATCCGTCCGCTTCTGCCTCCCAAAGTGTTGGGCTTACAGGTGTGAACCACCGTGCCCGGCCAGAAATCACTTTAATAAGAACCACTTGCCTTTTTCTGGGCAATTGCAGCTCGCTGAAGTTTCTCCTTAGCTTGATTACACTTTTCTTCTCTCTCTGTGATACGCTCATGAAGCTTGTGCTTTTCTTCCAACCACTGTATCTGTTTCTCTTCCAATGTCCTGTCAGAAGAATGTATGTAAAACATGGAAGCTAAATAAGTTGTTAGGATTAAATAGGATTAAATATCACAAGTATAAGCAAACTCACTACCTGCCTGACCACATTTTTAATTATCCAACTGCAGGCCCTCCTGTATGGCCACTTGTTTGCAAATCCCACCATTACTGAGCACTTCCTGTGAATAAGGCACTGGACTTAGAACACTATGTGTATTGTATCATCTGTTCTTTACAAAAATCCCAAGTTAGGTGTTTCTGTCACCTTTATACTTCTGTCCATTTTACAAATGAGGAAACCGAGGATTAGAGCAGTTAGCTAACTTAAGGGCTCACATCTAGTTAATGGCAAGACAAACACTTGATAACAGGTGTGAAGTATAATAACCATCAAACTACAAATATCTGTCCTCATAAATTTGGTTTAAGAAAATCAAGCCTGGTATCAAATCTTAATGCAGTATGTCTTCTGACTAGAGTAAAATGCATATGAATGATAAAATAACATCATAACAACTTGTATTTTTAAAGCTATTCTGCATACTTTATATGATTTTTTTAATATTCCTACTATAGGCAGTACAAATGAAAATAACAAACCCTGAGAAGTTAGATTACTTGCCTAACGTCATACAAGATTTTAAGTATCTTAGCTGGAACTAAAATCACGTTCCATTGACCCTTCGTACAGCTATTTTCTTATATACAATTCTATGAATATTATTTAGAAACCAATGATTACTTACTTAAATTTGCTAGCTACACTGTCATAGAATTATTAAGCTCGTTTCAATCAACCACTTGAGAAATCCAAGCACATGTTTTTGGTTTTCACAAAATAAAAGAAAAATAAGTTGGATCATCTGAAATGTCACAACATGCTATGGATATTTATCTTGCTTCCTTCCTTTTCTTGAAATTCAACCCCATATATAAAAGCATGGACAAACCTTAGAATATGTAATAATAGAAAAACTGAAGAAACACAGTTTTATGTGGCATGGTGGCCTTCAGAAGAAGAAATTTGAAAAGAATTATGTTTTGTAGATTAAAATAAAAACTTACTTATAAGGCAAACATAAAGACAAAGCAAATACAAAATAGTACAGTATTCTACCACATCTAAACAAATGTTTCCAGAGGGTATAAGATCTTGAACATCACCACAATAATTTTATCCCTACCAGTTTTACTCCATACTATCTACTAGTAACAAATTTTAAGACCAAAAAAAAAAAATAAACAAATAAATTAGCTTTTCAAAGAAAATCCAAGAGACTAGTTCTAGAAGGAATTAAGTTTTGCACATCAAAAACAAAACAAAACAAAACAAAAACCATTCTGTTCTCTGGCATTCAGAAGAATAGATTTTTGAAGAAATGTTTTCATTTAATCAATGAATAAAAAAAGTTTTCTTTGAGGTTTTTCAGAATACTATGCTGTCAGAATTTTAATATGTCTTAACTTTACCTTTTTTAAAAGAATTTGAGTCAGTATAGGTCATTCTATAGAAACATAAAGTACATTATTACCTCAGTATACCACTGTATACTATTAAAGTGTATTTGTAACTAGTTTCTAAAATATAATCAACATTGGAATCATTACTAACATAACTATATGTTATATAGAAAAAAGAAAAAATAGTTTGTACATAAAGAGCAAACTCTACTTTTCAGCTTCTAGTTGCGCTTTTTCAGCTTGGCTTCTAAAATTTCGGCATTCTTGTTTTAATCTCTCCACCATTTCCTTCAGCATTTGGTTTGAATTCAGCAAGTCATTCTCTGACTGTGCAAGTGAGGTCACTTGGATCTGCAAACTACTGATTTGCTTAAAAGAGAAGAAAGAAGATAAAGGCCACTAAATAAATGCAGTAAGGTATGAGAGAAGCAGAAGATACTAAGCATCTCCCTTTGCAAATACTCCCTCAAGCTGGTGTGCCCTTGAAGATGCCCCCTGAAGGAAATAACAAATAGCAGCACCTAGGAGCATTTCTTATTATAATCAGAGACTATCAAGAAGTATATTCCTCAGTCACTGAGTCCCCTCCCTCTTCTTCCCAAAATATGAAGGCCAGGAGAGGTATTGGGAATGGACAGAAAGGTTATCAGGGGGATTAGCAGTGAGATGAGGAAAGGGAATCCAGTGATTAGAGTCAGTCTCCTACCACTCTAGCCTTCCCCTACCTCCTACGGAAAAAAACTGATTTTAAAAGCAAGTCAGCTGGGAAAGCAGCTAAAAAAAAATCCATCCTCCTCTTCCCACATACCCTGAGATCAGCAACCTTCCAGAAGTTCTACTCTCCAAGCAATCAAAATTGTTCAGTGTAAATATGAGAAGGATCACTCTCACATTGTTTTTAAAAGGTTTCCATTCATGTGTCCAGTGCTGGGCAGAAGAAAGATGCTCTGGGAAATCAAATAAACGCTACAGATTCCTTGGCCTCTACAGCCATTTACCAAACTGCATACTGTCACTCAAAGCTTTTTTTCCATCCCAATTTACCTTTATCTGGGAGTACTTTTTCTCATGAGAAGTCTAATTAAAGATTAACAGGCTAGAAAGATTCACACTCTTCTAAATTATATCTAAATAATCTTTATTTGGGACAGTTATATATACCTCCCCCACAAACTATTTTACCAATTAATAAACAATAAAAGTTCTTATTTTCCTTTCACTTCCTTTTATCTCTCTTAGCCATTTTCTGAGAGACATTTCAGAGTAAAGACAGTCAAGAGATAGGGATCAAAAGAACCTATTATGAGATTCAAGGGTAAAAAGAAACAAGATTCTTATATAATAGTGTAAATAAATGGGTAATAATCCCATTACTTCCTAATGGTAACAAAACCAATTCATATACGATTCTGAAAGTCCACAGAGCAATTTTTAGCAGAATAAAACTAAATAGTATGTCTCAGATTTCTCTTTTAGAATGAATTTCTCCATGTAGAACTATTCACTATTTTTAACTGGAGTGGCAAATATTAAATCTGTATTACAGCTGCTTGAATAAGCAACCTTCAAAGAGCTTAATACCTCTCCACATGCATAGCATGACAGAAAGCTCAAACGCCAATGATACTAAATAACTTCTCTCTGGGTATCAAACATTATGTCCATCTAGTTAAGACTTAGAAACCATAACTGCACATGAAAAGCAGTACCAACTAGCATATGAGCATGAATTCTAAAAATGGATTCCTACTTCATAATTTATAGGGAAAAAAACAACAACAAAAAACAAAATAGAATTCAGAAAAGATCACTCCTCTATGTTTTACCCAACTTTATACAAATCTTTCCTGAACCCAAATAACTTTAATTATAAATACAAATTTCCTTCCACAAATACAAATGTTGGATTTCATAGGGCTATAGCAAAAATACCTCATGATATAAAATTACAAGTCAATCACACAAGTAACTTAAAACCTGGATATTTCTATTGAGTTTTTAAAATTCAGAATATTAAAATACTGTCCTTATAACTGTAATTTAAAAAATTATCATGGGCCACAGCATAAGTAAAAAAAATATATATATATCTTAAGAATAATACCAGTTAGCAAAAGAAGCTTATTAAAGTATAGAGGTTTAAACATTTTATCTTTACATATTACCTCCAACAACATGTTACCAATTGTGGTTAGAGTCTAAAAATACTGATTGCAAATCTTTTTTTAAATTTGCAAAACACAAATTTAAAGAAGCACTTGAAAAAATAAAAGGAAAATATTTGCTAAAATCATACCTGTTTTAGGTCAGAATTTTCATTTTTTTCCTTCTCTGCATTTTCAATAGTCACAATTTGTTGTTGCAGTTTTAACCTAAAAATCACAACCCAACAAAAGACATTATGAAGAATCCACGATTCATTTATTTCACTGAATTAAACAGTCATTTTATTGAATGCCTGCTGGACACCACTGTGCAAAAGCACAAATACAACCAAAGATTGAGACTTTGAGAAGCTAGGTTGTGTTCACATATAACAAAAATGTAAAACAAATTACTGTTGTTGTGATAGGAAAATCTACAAACTAGGGGCATAGAGAGGATGAGAAATCAACTATGTCCAGGGGTTCCAGGGAATGCTACATGGATAAAAACCTGACAGGTAGGATTCTGATATACATGAAGAACAGCCTGAACAAGTGGTCTTTCATGGAAAATTATAGAATGTGTTGCTAAGGCATCAGAAAGTAATCTAGTTTAGGAGAGGCCAACTTACATCCATATAGCATTTTACAATTTACAAAATTCTTTCAGACACACGCTACTTCACTTTCATTCTACAAGGCTACAGATTTAAAAGAAAACTAATACAACACACCATCCTGTATTCTATAAAATATCTTATGGAGCTTTTCATGCCTGAGATGAATGAATACTTAAACATTTGCAGACTCTTCAAAGGGAATAATACATCTACAGCCAGATCCTTAAAATGCAGAGCAGCTCTAGTGACCAAATGAGTAACCTCATGAGGAAGACATTACACTAATTAGGTTTGGCAGGATAGGCCCTGCAGCCTCCTCCCTTTCAAAACTCTCCAAACGCCTATCTCAAATACAATGCACTCGGCACCTATTTATAGCTTGGTATTATTAGCATGTCTTATCTGCCCAAGTAGAATGTGTTTATCTGGACAACACTCTCAAGAACCTAGGTCTGTGCTTTAAACACAATAAGGACTCAATAAACATTTGTTGGCAGACTGAATGAACCAACCCAAATCATGGATTAGCCGTGTAAATGTGTGAGATGATTGGATAATATAACATGAAAAAAACCTGAAGATAAGACTCATTGCTTCCTGAGACGTTTACATACAAATGCCAGAAACGATGAACCTAAAGAGGGCCAGTCCTTTTCCTTTTGCTCCACTGTCAGTACCAGTCACACTCTTATTTCATAATTCTAGTTACATGATTACTCTTTCAAACTTTCTGTGCACTTCCTCCATTAAATGTTTATGAATGTTACCAACTGGGTGCCCCTTTTTTTTTTTTTTTTTTTTTTAAGTAAGAGATGTGATTGCACTATATTGCCTAGGCTGGCCTCAAACTCCTTGGCTTAGGCAATCCTCCTGCCTCAGCCCCTCAGCAGGGTGGCTAACTTGGGGTTTTTAGGTTACTGACTTAGTAAAGGTTTCTTTCCACAAAATCATGAAGATGAAAACGGAAGAGAGAACACTGTAGGTCCCAGTTCAGGCCCACAGTTAGAAAACTTAGGTCCTAAGTATATCCTAGCTCCAGATGAGAATCTGGATACAACTGGTAAATTAACAAGAAACATGACCCAGTTAAGAAAGTCATGGCCTAATGCTTTCTATGTAAGTTACACAGACATGAAGAGAAACAATAGTGCCCTGCATACAAAAGCTGAAGCCAAAGAAACCAATGGTAAAGAGTATCTGAAAAATCATTAAAATATGAAAGGATGGGAGAAAACCTAAATGAAATATGAACTAAGTAAAAGCACCATTGTGGTAGACTATAGAAGATGATATACAACAAGGCCTTCTTCAGTTCATTTTGTTGAAGCAGTACTGGGTTAGAATCTAAAACTAATTTTTTTTAAGAAGAAAATTAGTCCATGATTTAAGATCATTACATTTAGGATTCTATGGGATAATGGATCTTAACTTAAATAAGATAGGAATAAGACTAATGGTATTAAAGTTCAAAAAGGCAGATAATGTTTCAAAAGACAGTGCTGTAAATTTAGGAGTACAGTATCTCTTTTTATTAGGTTTTGAATACTCAAGGTGTGTCACAATAAGTCAAAAGAAAATATACCTTATAATAGACACACAAGGAACAGAAAAAAACTGCAATTAACTTTCATTAGAGGATAAGTTGAGGCTACATAAAAGAGATGCAATTTGAACTAGATCTTGAAGGAAAAATAAGAGTCCGAGATAGAGAAATTAAAGATATAGGTGACAAAGAGTGTAGAGGAAGTAGAGATATGGAATTTAAAGCACTGTTCACTTAAGAAGTAAAGGGGGAAAGGACATTTTCAAAATAGAAAGGGAGGAGAGAATGGATGAAGATACCGAAATTCTAAGATGGCAAGAAGTTGAGAAAATTCATATCCTTTGCTCATGTACAAGTAAGAACATCAGATTCCAAGCTGAAAAGGAAGCAAGGGAGCCAGGATAATAGGCTGGAAGAAAAAGAGAAGTCCAAAGACTACCAATATCAGTATCTTCAGTGAGAGTAGCATGGATAAGAGAAAGGAAAGATATTTACATCTTTGAAGTGATCAGTTCTAGGTGACGACAAGGTCCAAGAAGTGTCTAGGTGTACAAGATGCTAAAGTAGGATAAAGATAAAAGAATGCCACAGTGCAGACAGAATAAACTATAAGGCTAAGGTGTTGGGTAGTTCAACGCTATGAATACATAGTCACTAACAATGATGACGAGAGAAACAAAACAGAAAAAAGTTGAGCCAGATATCAAAGTCCTCAGTGACTATTAAGGAATACACTGTAGGTCATTAACTGGAAGAGATAAAAGACAGGTTTAAAACTGGATGCAACAAATATCAAAGAAAAAAATCACTTTAACCATACTCAAACAATGAACGGGAAGCGCAAACGGGGTTTACGAATGTTGATTTCTCTTCTTGGTCTCTTGTTGCAGGAGAGAGGAAGGAAGAGTAATTTCTACCTAAAAGGCGTTCCAGGTTATATGCCATGAGAAGAAAGCAGTTCTCAGCAGGGGGAGAGGCATTCAAAAAAATGTTGAGATTACAAAAAAAGTTATTGGTATCAGAATAGGGATTCCAAAGGCTACAGTGGAAATTGTTAAAAGTTTTAATGAGTTAATGAGTAGGTGATAGGGAGAAATCAGAAGGTGAAGGATGAGTAAGTGGGGGGAAGAGTAACTATGAGATCAAGTACTTTATACTTTTAAAGCAATTATAAAGTAGGTGAACTGGAGGGCCAAGTTACAATAGACAATGTAGTTATGAATGAGTTTAAATGGAAACTTTGGAATAACATTAAGGTGGCGCTATTTCAAGTTCCCTTCAAAGTACAGGGAAGTCAGCTGTAAGGATCATGGTCTAGGTCTTCTGTGGCAGGCAGCTGATATACTGATATATACTATTTCTATTTTTTTTTTTTTTTTTTTTTTTGGAGATGGAGTTTCGCTCTTGTTGCCCAGGCTGGAGTGCAATGGCGTGATCTTGGCTCACCACAACCTCGGCCTCCTGGGTTCAAGTGATTCTCCTGCCTCAGCCTCCCAAGTAGCTGGGATTACAGGCATCCACCACCATGCCTGGCTAATTTTTTGTCTTTTTAGTAGAGATGGGGTTTCCCTATGTTGGTCAGGCTGGTCTTGAACTCCCGACCTCAAGTGATCTGTCCTCCTTGGCCTGCCAATATATGCTGTTTCAACATTCAGCAAATATTTATTGAGTACCTATACATGCTGAGCCCATTCTAAGTGTTGTGGATACATCAGAAAATAACAAGGACAGAATGCCTACCCTTGAGGAGTTTATACTCCAACAGTGTCGTCTGATAGAGCTTTCTTTGATGGTGGAAATATTCTATAATCTGTGCCTTCCAATATGATAGTCACTAGCAACATGTTTGTGTGACTGAGGAAACTGAATTTTAATTTTTTAAAATCCTAATTTAAATTTAGGTTTCAAGAGTCATCTGTGACTAGCAATACCATATTGGGCAGCAAAGCCTCTAACGTAACTTCTTGGCTTCATTTAACGTGAGTCTCTGTTACCAAAGGGAAGCAACATACAGGGCAAACAACAGAAGTTGTAATTGTGATTTCTCTACTGTCAAAGAGTCCTACAAGTCTCATGAGAATAGCAGTGGCCTTCTCATACCAATCTTCTGAAAGCATGGTTCTTGCTTGTGAGCACTGGAAATTGACACTGGCCATTATTAGCAAAAAGAAACTTTCCTGAAAGAGTATAAGAACCCGCCCAAAAGAGAACTAGAAAACCAGAACCAGGATACAATAATTGACAGGAATCACAGGCAAAGACATGGCACAGGCCTGCCTGGTCCTTCAAACACTGGCACATATCCTTTCATCCCTTACTTCACAGTTTAAATTCTTGGGAGAAAACGTGTCCAAAGGGCCAATATAACTCTTCTCAAGATGCAGTGTAAGTAGAAAGGTGGATATATTAAATGATAGCTTTTTGGTTTTTTTTTTTTTTAAAGCAAATATCCACTACTGGCAACAAAGAAATCCAAACTGATGAAATTTAAATGTTTATTAAAAGTTTAAGAAAAAAACAGAAAGCTCCAAATGGAAAATAATAGCCCTGGCTTTAAGCCATGCAAAAAATAAATTAAGGGGGTATTGACTACAGGATATCATAAATGTTCAGGTTCTCTTTCCTTGGTTATTACTATTTCCCCAAAAACCTCCCCCTACTTTTAATATCAAACTGCACATCATTTCCTTCCTCTTCCTTCACCCACTCCACACAGAGACATGGGCATATAATCTTGGCTGAGTCAGAGTGCCTGATACCCACAATCGCCCTGGTAGGTCCAAAGATGAGCATGTGAACCAGACCCAAACTTGTCTCTAGTTTTTTTTTTTGTTTTTTTTTTTGTTTTTTTTTTTTGACAGAATCTCACTCTGTCACCCAGGCTGGAGTGCAGTGGCACAATCTTGGCTCACTGTAACCTCCACCTCCCAGGTTCAAGCAATTCTCCTGCCTCAGCCTCCTGAGTAGCTTGGATTACAGGTGGTCATCACCACGCCCCACTAATTTTTATATTTTCAGTAGAGATGGGGTTTAACCAAGTTGGCCAGGCTGGTCTCGAATGCCTG